ATAGCTTTACGAAATTTATGTCACTTTGTTTTGTGTAGATGGGTGTTTTAAGTAAAGGAGCCTTGAGGGTGTAGGGGGGGATGGTTTTAGGTCGGGTGGTTTTATTTATCAGTGTAAGTGTGAATGGCAGTGTCAATTTAGTGTCAGTGTGTGTCAATATGTGGTTAAAGTCAGTGTCAAATGTCTGTCAGTGTCAATTTCAGTGTATCAGTGTCAAATGTCTGTCAGTGTTAATGTCCCTGCAGCTAATCCAGGCTATCACACAGCTGTAGGATGAAGGATACTCTCCTACTCCTACACACACTCCTGTCTCTGGTTACTCCCCGTCCTTCTACAACTCCTCCTAAGACCTGTATATTTATTTATCTTTTTCCTGTCTCTTGGGATCCAGTCGAGAATCACATTAATCTGTTTTACCAGCGTCAGTGCAGGCAGAAGACGGGCGAACGTTCATCTGGTGTAGCTTTTATAATCGGGTTGGATAGATAACGCCAGGCGATGTTGTTCGTTCACGCAGGCGCAAGACAATCATATTAATATTTTTATCATGGAAATTATAGCGTCTTGGGTGTTAGTATCAACATAATATTATATACAATATTTAATAAAAGACTAATTCATATAATCCTGTCCCACACCATCACAAAGAATTTAATTTGCCCTTCTAATTAGTTTGTATGATAAATGGCTAATTGTCTCATTTGCTTGGTTAATTAATCATATAAATGACTTGGGTTTTATGTAGATGAGTTCACACCATAATTATCATGTCCGGCTCGGGGGCTGTGACGTCATGTATAGTTTCACTGGAGGTCTCATGGCGGCGTTTTGTTTACCTTACAGCCAAGACGAAAAAACAGTATAATTTTCCTGTGGTAAATTTTGTTTCCTAATCTGAAATACAAATTAATGGTGCTTAATAATAACAGATAGATAGATAGATAATGTGGATCAGTCTTCTCTCATACGATGGATAATAATGTGGATAATACTTTGGGGTGGATAAGTGGATAATACTTTGGGGTGGATAATATTATGATCTGGATAATACTAGAGTGAGGGTAATATTGTGGTCTGGATAATACTTTTATTGTAATAGTGTGAATATGAGGTTAGGTTAGGTTAGGTTAGGTTAGGTTAAGTCTGACTGCTTTAGGTTATTTTATGTTAACAATGGTTAGATTAGGTTTAACTTAAGCTATTGTAAGTTTAATATAGGTTAGATTAGGTTTGTCTAAGAGTAGGTTTAACTACGGCTACATGAGCTTCAAGTACTGAATCAAGTAGGGTTAGGTTAGATATTAACTTAGGCCAAATTTATCTAAGTTAGGTCATGTTAAGTTAGTGGGAGTAATAAGCTTTGATGTTTTGTCATACAAACTAGTAAATATATAAAAAATAAAAAAAAAATAAAAATAAATAAATAAATGAATAAAATAAAAATAAATAAGTAAATAAAATAAAAATAAGTAAATAAATAAAACAAAAATAAATAAAATAAAAATAAATAAATAAATAAAATAAAAATAACTTAATAAATAAATAAAATCAAAATAAAATGTAAAGAAATTAAAAAATACAAAAATAAAATAAAACAAATTCCCTTATAAACGAACCAAGCTGATAGACTCGTTCCCTACTGAGCGGGGTGGTGGATCATGGCCGACCTACAGTACACAATAAGTTTCCCGTTGAAAATTAATCTCCTACGATACTGTTTTTGTAGTTTTGTTGTTGTCGTTGATTTTTGTTGATGCTTTGTTGTTGTTGTTCCTGGAAAGAAAAACAGACGTAGTGTGATCAACTGCCACCAGGGGTCACTAATCTCAGGCGTCTAGTTACAGTTAGTTACAGTTACGATCTTATGTTAATTAACCGCCGCCTTCCTTATATACCGTAACTTAAGTGAGCCAGTTAGTTGCGGTCTCACATCTCAAGTTAGAAAGAGAATGGAAAGTTTTGAGAATTTGAGATCAATACTTTTTTTTTTATTGATTCTTATTTATTTATTTGTTTATTTATTTATTTCGTTGGTTGGTTGGTGTTTTTATTGGGGGGAGGGGAATCGAGAATTTACGTCAAAGTTGAAATTTACGTCGAAGGAAGAGAATCAGACCATTGCTTAGAGAGGATCAAGAGAAATATTCCTTCTTGTAGGAATTGTTAATCAGGTCATGGCCACGTGGAAGAAAAATACACCAATTTAATCCACCCGACAGCTTCTCAATATCAGTTTCAGGAAAGCCTATAAATTCAAACCCATTTAAGTGAATTCCTGTGCAAATTGAACACATTTAGGCAAGTCTACACCATTCGTCTCAGCAGCTCTCTTGCGTGTGATAAACCCAGGGAAAGTGATTCTCAGAAAAAATACTAAATATCTCACCTAAATTTGAGATATAAACCATAATCATCCGTGATAGCTGTTCGTGATAGGGTAAACATGACACTTAAAAATACCATTGAAATTATAACACTGAGACTGCCATGACTATTAATTCTCATCCCTGTGTGATAAAAAAAAATAACATTCACTTAACAATAGACTGCGATAAACACCTATCTTAGCCTCAGTTAAGCGAGTTAGTGTGTGTGTGTGTGTGTGTGTGTGTGTGTGTGTGTGTGTAAATTAAATTCATTTAGTCAAGTCTACCCTAAAGCTCCACTATTCGTCTCCTCCGTTTTCTTCCAAGAGATAAGCCAGAAGGATGAGGAGCTGGTGGAAGACTCTTAAATCAATTTGCCGAGTCTTTATCTTGTTACCAACTTTGCAAACGCTGATTTCGGGGGTGAAGGTGGGTGGCTCGTGTCGTAAATTACCTTCCCACGAGTACCTGTGAGTGATTGGGATGGATGTGGTGAGGCAGGGAAGGAGGAAAAATAAGAAGGAAAAAGATTTACCTCTGAAGAACAATGAACGGACTTGCAGCTTTTTTCTTCGTTATATTTTCATGATCAATGGATTACTAAAAGATATATCTAACTGGTGTACTTTTAAGTTATGGGAGAAAAAATATATGGTGGTGTTAAAAGGATATCGAAATTACATTCAGGGGAGATTTGTATTATCTCAAAATACATTCACTCATCACATCAGTACGGACTCAAACCTAACATGATACGTACTCTCCTCTCTTAGATATGGACTCTGATACATTTTCCTATCTCCCATCTCTTACTTTACATGATACGTTCTCTCATCTCATAGTTACAGGAACACAATTCATCGTGGCATTCTTCGAGGCATGGAACCCCAGTGCTGTACAGAACTCTCTCCAGGGGTTGAAGATAAGATATGCAAGAGGGAGTGATTGACCTCTTTCCGGGGGTCTGGTGGACTCTGGGGCGTCTTATAGCTTCTGGCTCTTGGTAAATCCATGAGGAGAGAGAGAGAGGGGCGGGAAAGAGAGGGAGAGGGGGGAAAGGGAGAGAGAGGGGAGAAGAGAGAGATAGAGGAAGGAAAAAGAGAGAGAGAGAGAGAGAGAGAGCTACCATCATTACCATAATAACTTTCAGGCAGCACAGCGTCTCTCTCTCTCTCTCTCTCTCTCTCCCTCTCATCACTCTGTAAATACTTGTTGTCGCTGTTAAGTCAATATATACATTGAAACATCCAGAGAATACAAAATACAGATTAAAACTTGATAACACATAGATACAAAATAAAACGTCATAATACAGTACACAAAATACAAACTAAAATACGAAAAGAAACAAAATACAAAATAAAATATCAAAGTTACAGTAAAATTGTTGAATTATTAAGTCATAAACTTCCTTAGTAATGAGATGCATGAGTGAATTACCGAGAAGAAGATCAGGAAGACGACTGTTTACGTAAATGTTGACACAGTTTGTAAATATTAGGAGAAATTCTCAAGTTCTTAACAAAAAGAAATTAATTACGCGATAAGAGCAGCATTTATTTGTTATATTTGAATCCGTTGTTATGTTTGTTATTGACCCACGGAATGTTTTTGTTTGTTATTGACGCGCAGAATGTTTGTTATTGACGCACGGAATGTTCTTGTGTTTGTTATTGACGCACGGAATGTTTTTTTGTTATTGACGCGCAGAATGTTTGTTATTGACGCACGGAATGTTCTTGTGTTTGTTATTGACGCACAGAATGTTCTTATGATGTTATTGACGCGCAAAATGTTCTTATATTTGTTAGTGACGCACAGAATGTTTTGTTATTGACGTGCAGAATGTTCTTAATTGTTTTGTTATTGACTATACGACTCTCCCGCCCAAACGTTGTCCATTCTAGTAAACAATAAATATTTTAATGCCTTTAACTTTTAACGGTGAAATCTGATTTTCTCGCTTCAATTTTCGCGTCAGAATTTGATTTATTGTCTGCGTCTGTTTACATACATGGCCGTGTTAACCGGAAGTGTACATCACAGGGAGGGAAAATAGTGAACAGTCACAATAGTTAAGTCACGTATGTTACAACTATGAAATAAGAGTAACTACACTTAATTTACAATTATGATGCAAGAGAATAACTTCACATTAACTTACAACTATGAAGCAAGAGAGTAACTTCACGTGAATTAAATATACAATAGGGAAAAAAAGTTACAAGTTTCCATTTCCTATTACTGGGAGGTCAGGGGGTTGGTGTATAGTTCCTGTATAGTTCCTGTATAGTCCCTGTATAGTTTAGCCGCCATCTTTATGTAATCTTGAATGTCGAGAAGAATCTTATTAAGTGTAACGTGTAACAGAAATGATAAGAGACACCCCTACCTTATGTTACTTAAGGTATAAGTAACCCTGACCTTGTGTTACTTGAGGTATAAGTAATACTCCACCTTGTGTTACTTGAGGTATAAGTAACACTCCACCTTGTGTTACTTGAGGTATAAGTAACACTCCATCTGGTGATACTTGAGGTATAAGTAACACTTCACCTTGTGTTACTTGAGGTATAAGCAACACTCCATCTTCTGTTACTTGAGGTATAAGTAACACTCCATCTTGAATTACAGGGAGGTGTTGCCCAATGGATCCTTGTGGGTGGCACCAGCTACGCCAGGCGGAGGTCATCTCACCCGCTCGACCTACCGCTGCAAGGCTGCCAACCCTACCGGCACCGTCATCAGCAGGACTACCACCCTCACCACAGGTAAGTACAATAGTGACGTCATAGGAGAATGTCAATATCTCTATACGTATTTCCGGTAAAATATATTGATGTACATTTATTCCACTGGTGTTGTAGACAAGATATAATCAGAGTCCAGTTGGTGACGCTGTTATATTCTGGAAATGGTGAGATTAAGACATAGTTTGAACCTACATTATACATAGTTTGAACCTACATTATACATAGTTTGAAACTACATTATACATAGTTTGAACCTGCATTATACATAGTTTGAACCTACATTATACATAGTTTGAACCTACATTAACTTTAGTTCTTGTGTTGTCTTGTGTTGGGTTAGTATGGACGCAGCTAACTATTTCACTTAAGGTATGAGAAATAGATGATAAACAGTATAGCGTCCAAATTGCCATGAAAAAAGTACTGGACCATTATTTCAAATGTTCTTTCCTCCTCTGTTACGAGAGAAAGTTAAGGGAGGAAGCAGCTTTAAAAATCCCGACCTACGGTTAGGTTAGGTTAGGTTAGGTTCTGACAGTCAACATAAAGGTTCCTCATAGTTCTTAGTTGTTCCCTCCGGTAAAGCAAGAACAAAAATTCCCCTTTGAATAACATTATTTACGTCCGTCCGTCTGTATGTCTGTTCGTGTATGAAATGTCGTAGGGATTTTATTTATATTTGCTGTAAAATTTGAGGACCACACTATGAGTTCAGACATTTTTTTTTTATCTAGAATTAAATATGCTAGTTTGGCGGCCATTTTTGTTTATTTTTTATTTTTTATTTATTTTTTTTAGAAACAGCGACTGAGGTTTGAAATAATATTGTTGTATATTACTTATTCTTGTTGTTACTAAGAAAAAAAAATACTTTAATGATAGAGTGATGTGTCTGAAATTATGTATTGTATTATGTCTAACAGGTGTGAAATAATCAACGATGTAATGAACTAAGGTGTAATTTTTTTTAGGTCGATTTTATAACCAAGTATTATCGTTTGGCTTACAGTCCAGTATACAACACGTCTAACACAATCAGTAAGACGTATGTAATGTGTGTGTGTGTGTGTGTGTGTGTGTCCGGGTCATCAGCGAACCAAATCAGAGAGAAAAGACAATATCAGTTTTAATGTTTTTTTTTGTTTGTTTGTGTTTGGCGACTGAACAAGTTTAGTCATGTTGAGTAATAAAAGTGTTGAACATTCTACAAAAAATTATCGAATTTTTGCGCGTTTTGTTTGAGACCAAAGGTTAAAAAAAACAGGGAAAAAAAAACCCAGACTATTGTTTTTTGTTGTTATTTTTCCCCGCTTGAATAACACGTCAACAAAGTGACTTCTCTTCTTTTACTGAGAGGGGAAATGAACCAAAATATATATTACCTGTATATACAAGACTACAAGCTGAGAACACACTACCCAAGTAGACATGTTCTTGTGTAAATCAAAACCCCGATAGTTAAAATTTTTGGTTTCACTTCCTTTTTAAAATATTCGGTTGATATTTATTCAGTAAATTTATCATATACGTTTACATGGGTTGAGAAAGTGTACATAGTGTAGACAATAGCAAAGACAGTCTAAGAAGATTTATAAAGGTGTATTGACGTTTAGGTTCCTGCGTGTTTTTTTTCTGGATCTGTTATATTTTTGGGTTCACCTGATGATTAGTCTCCCAGCTTATTTTCACCTTTATATTAACCACCCCAATGCTAACCTAACCTAAAACCTAACCTAACCCTCAGATAGCATTAAGGTGTTTAATCATCAGGTGAAATAAGCTGGGGTGGCTAATCTTCATGTGATTTTTTTTTATAGTTGTATCATGTCATATGTTAATAAAAATAATAATAATAGTAATAATAATAGACAGTTTTAGAAGCTTTTATTAGTTGAAGATAAAATATTTTGTAGTGAAATTTGTTCCTCGTCCAAGAATCTTTTTTTTTTTCTGGTCATGGCAAAATTGTGTGTTCTTGGGGACACTGTTGATATTTTTATGGAATTCAATTCGAGTTCTTTTCTTCGTCACCCAAAAAAAGGTGTGGGTAAATTTCAATTCCCCTGTGTGTGTGTGTGTGTGTGTGTGTGTGTGTGTGTGTGTGTGTGTGTTTCATGCTATTCAGTATTAAAATATTAAGTACTTCCAAATTAAACAGTGTGAAAGGTAATGGATGACAGAGATGATCGAGGCGTCGTTCGATGATGTGCGAGGAAGGAAGTGACTCATTTATGGAAAAGATAGGATGGGGGTGGGCATGTGATCCTCTCTCAGGTGGGAAGGGCCGCACTGCACCTCCACCTCCTCAGCAGTTCCCTCACGTGTGAACACAGGATCAGAAGCTCTCAAAACTCAACTGAGGAAGGACATCAATATCCCGCCATCCAGCCATTCTCTAGGAATTCTTATTCGAAGCTTCGTTTGGCGAGTCGAGACGAGGTCGACCCAAGAGCCGTTGGGTGGTGGTGAAGTTCTTGCTTGACAGGAACAATATCCATATTATTTTTTTATACTTTAATTTTTATTTCGCTGTTTTTGTACATTTATAGCGCCATGTATCCGACGAAACCTTAATTACTGTGTTTTAGTTCAGGTTGGTCGTCTGTCCTTCAGAAAACTTTACCTCGTATGGAGATTTTGTGAGTAAGATTTTATCAGTCTTATTCAGTACAAGTATTTAGCGAAATGACATTATTATTCTTATTTATACTGAATGGTCATGTTTTTTTATATTTTCTGAAATGCGATGATTTTTAATACTTAGTTAAACGTCATAGAGATGATTATGATCTCGCATGTTTTACTACCATTTGATATTCGTGTTTTATATCCCGTCTGTGTTTTATATTGGTTAGAAACTTTTCCTGAATATTTACTTAAATGACATACAAGAAATTTATAAATCTAGAAGTTTTCATTTTCTAGTTACATTCACCCCAATATTAGTTAACCCCGTTTAAAGGAATTATCCATATTATAATTTATTTGGAGCCGAGTTCAATAAAGATAATAGGAATTTATTCGTATTCAGGATATGTTGAAAATTTAGGAGGGTTAATAACTTCTTTCGTCTATATTCTCAACCTAACCTAACCTTAATTCAGAATTCACATCCCAGAGTCTACGCTTAATATATTTTTATTCTCTGGCTGTTGGGAGACGAAAGTGAAAATTAATCTGCCACTGTAACTTTTAACATCCGATAATTGAATTACTCCCGTAGCACACACACACACACACACACACACACACACACACACACACACACACACACACACACACACACACCTTTCACCAAGAGTATTACCCACGTGACATTCTTCTCCGCTTACCACTTTTTCCTTCTCCTCTTTCCTCTACTTCTTTTCTCTACTTCTTTCCTCCTCCTCTTTCCTCTTTCCTCTTCCTCCTCCTCCTTTTCTCTCTTCCTCTTCCTTTTCTCTCCTACTTGTACTCCTCCTCCTCTTCCTCCCTACCTTTACGATTAGTTTATTTCCCCCTTCCCTTCCCTCTTTCCCTTGCTTTTAATGTCTTTCCTTCTCCTGCCATCATCGCCTTTGTCTCTCATCCCCTCTCGCTAATATCCTACCTCTCTCTTACAACTCATGTTTCACGTTTCATTTGATAATTCATTCTCCCTCTCTCTATCTCTCTCTCTCTTCGTTATCTCAATTTCCCTTCTCCACACCCTACAAATTTTCCATCTTTCATTATTCCTTATTTATTAGTTCCCGTGTGCCTCTATCTCTGTCGATCATCAGGACGTAACGAAATGTAAATAGTTACACTCAGGAACTCTCCCCTTCACGCCTCACTAACTTCCTTTGTGTTATAGTACTGATTATTTTTACTCTAGGATCCTCATTGGTAGCATTTTGTGTCAAGTAGGTCTTACTGTCGTCAAATTTAGTTTATGTATACTGCCTGTCCTAAGCGCTAAGACTAAACAAATAGCTATGTATATTGTTTGTGATAAGGCCTAAAACAACAGATAATTATGTACTGTATACTGTCCGTGTCAAGGCCAAAGATATAAGAGCCACAACTATGTATACTCCCCGTGATAGGGCCCAGCTATGTATACTTTTCGTGTCAAGGCCAAAGATATAAGAGCCACAATTATGTATACTCCCCGTGATAGGGCCCAGCTATGTATACTTTTCGTGTCAAGGCCAAATAAGACTTAACACATAGCTATGTATACTCCCCGTGACGACCCAGCTATGTATATACTCTCTGTCCAGGCACCAACATCTCTTAGTCACTATGATGAGGATAATATTATTGGTCTGGGTGCAAATTTATAGACGACTCCTTAATTACGGAATATAATCAAGGGTTAGGGTCGATGTCTTTATTAGCCGCCATCTTGGTGTCGTAGCATCAGAGTTCGGAAGCATCTTTCTCAATGACTTCTCCTACAGGCTCCTGAAGGTGGGATGAACGCTGGAGATTTATTTGTTTTAGATTGGAATTTGTAGGTTGTTATGGATTGTTTAAGGTCTATTATTGATTTACTTCTGGACAGTTTTGGAGTAAAGTTTTGATTTTTCTTAAGACTGCTTCATCGTTATTCCTCTGTGTAAAGGGGTTAGGTTAGGTTGGGATGGGTTAGGTTAGGTTGGGATGGGTTAGGTTAGGTTAGCTTGATTCCCTCAGCAGTCGTCAAGGCTGTCTGTTTGGCTGTTTTTTTTTAATATGACTTTACGCTACAACTAAGAAGAAAAACCTTGTTATGAATGTCGTTAAGTACCATAAGATATAAAACGAGATATGTTTTTTTTTTAAGATAACTAGTTGGATTCATTGTGTTATCTTTAGTTGAGGGGACCATGGATGTAGTAGGGTGGAGGAGATGGAGCAAGATAACTAGACATATTGTAATAAACACAACAATATAACTACACCGTCTTACACTCCACCTCACATTTGTTAAGTAACTTCCAAGTAAAACATTAAAATAACTGTGATAATATCCTTGTGTTCTTATGCCAACAAAGCAATGACTATTATCTTCT